TGCTCGATCCCTCCTCGAACCCTCTCGAGGGGTGACATTTCGACGAAGACCTTTAGCTTCGAAATGGCAGTGTCATTCGGGTTTGGTAGACGGACGGAAATGCGACGACAGTAGGAGGGTGAACTTTGACCCGAACCGATATCGGCCACGACGGCGTCCATCAAAATCCAATTTGCATTCGTCATTTGCTCGGTTTGGTGCTTGACGATAAGGAGTTGTGTGCCCTCGAAAGCTCGGACATCTCCTCCAAAAGCCATGCTCCCTTCGAGGGCTTAGTTTGTTTCCCGAGCAATAATTCCGTTTTGCGAACCGCGGTTCAAGAAATTTTTCCTTTTTCTACCGATCTGCGAGATCAAAGTTAACGTTATAAAAAGAAACCAATCTAATTTCGATTCGTGTACGGCGAAAAAATGTATAGTCGCGAATACCCAATTGGAATCACGAATAGGATTTGATTTCTTTGTGAAATTTATAAAAAGAAATTTCTTTTTTGACTACGCACAGTTGCATAAAATTTTTTTTTTAGACAATATATTTACGATGTTTGATGTGTTTGGACAGATTTTTATTGCTGAACGTTTCACTAACAATCGTTTAGAGTAGATAACAACATTTAGGCATTAATAAACATACACGTATCTGTAGTTGGAGTAGGTAGCAATGTACGAATATTGATTGATATTTGTTTGAAATACACTACAAAGCGTAAACATTACCAGAAACATTTCTGACATTGTTGATAGTGGAACAACGCTTAAAATGTGTTTGGAGTAGATAGCAATATCCAAATATGCGACAAATGAATAGAAAAGAAACATATAATACATATAATACATCTATTATATGATAACTAATTTCAGGTTTAAAATGTCAACCTCAATTTTGACATATTTGTAATCTTCATTAAAAATCCTTTAAAATGAGTACAAACACGACATATTTACCTTTAATATTAACGAAGTTATGATCAACTTCCGGTTAAGAATGACAACGTCAATTTTGACATATTTGTAATCGTCGTGAAAAATCCTTTAAAATGAGTCCTAACATGATACGTTTAATTGCAATATTACTCGAGATATTAGCAATTTCCGGTTTGAAATGTCAATGTCATTTTGACATATTCTTAATTTTTATAAAATGTCTTAATATTTGTCACAGAAACAAAAATATAATAAAAAAAATCAAAAATTAAGGTTGGTATTAATATTTAAAAATTAAATTGCTAACTTCATTGTTACTAACTTCGTGTTTAATGTTTTTTATTCAAACTTTTTTGTTTTTTGGGATAAATGCATCAAATTTGGACTCATTTTAAAGGTTTTTTAATATAGAATACATCATGAAAAAAAAATTACTTGTATGTCAAAAAGTGTCTCTTATCATGTGTATAGGATGTCCCAAATTTGAATCAATTATCTTCAAAACTAAAGGAGATACGGGGGGTGTACCATGATCCTGTTACACCCGGTATACTGCAATCTTTGATTATATATAATATGGATTGAGCTAACTGAATATATCTACTAACAAAAATGTTGCTCAAGGTGAATAGACGCAGATGGAAAGCGATAATGTGAAAGTGTAACAAAGATAGATATATTATATGTTAGTACGCTTCTATATCTATCTCACTTCTATCAGTACACCCATTATATGGCAGTACGCTTCTATATCTATCTCACTTCTATCAGTACACCCATTATATGGCAGTACGCTTCTATGTCTATCTCGGTTCGATCACCTTGCGCAAGCTATCTCTCTCGTTGGCTCAATCCATATTATGTATAATCAAAGACTGCAATGTACTCAATAATGGGGGTAGATATCTGTATCTAAATAAGAGATAACGAGTAGGTAGCAATGTACGAATATTGATTGATATTGGTTTGAAATATACTACAAAGTGTAAACATTACCAGAAACATTTCTGACATTGTTGAAAGTGGAACAACGCTTAAAATGTATTTGGAGTAGATAGCAATATCCAAATATGCGACAAATGAATAGAAAAAAAACATATAATACTTCTATTATATGATAACTAATTTCAGGTTTAAAATGTCAACCTCAATTTTGACATATTTGTAATCTTCATTAAAAATCCTTTAAAATGAGTACAAACACGACATATTTATCTTCATAATTAATGAAGTTATGGTCAACTTCCGGTTAAGAATGTCAACGTCAATTTTGACATATTTGTAACCGTCGTGAAAAATCCTTTAAAATGAGTCCTAACATGATACGTTTAATTCCAATATTACTCGAGATATTAGCAATTTCCGGTTTGAAATGTCAATGTCATTTTAACATATTCTTAATTTTTATAAAATGTCTTAATGTTTGTCATAAAAACAAAAATATAATAAAAAAAAATCAAAAATTAAGGTTGGTATTAATATTTAAAAATTAAATTGCTATCTTCATTGTTGCTAACTTCGGATTTAATGTTTTTAATTCTAACTTTTTTGTTTTTTGAGATAAGTACGTCATCTTTGGACTCATTTTAAAGGTTTTTTAATGAAGATGACAAATATGTCAAAATTAACGTTGACGTTTCAAACCGGAAGTGATTGTATTTCCATTAATATTAAAGTTAAATATGTCGAGTTTGGGGTCATTTTAAAGGATTTTTATGAAGTTAACAAATATGCCAAATTTTGAAAGTTCGAACTTTTTGGATTTTTGAGATAAATGCATCAACTTTAGACTCACGTTAAAGGTTATTTTATGAAGATTACGAATATAATAATAAAATTAAAGTTGACATTGACAACTGAAAGTTTTTTTCATAGTAATATTTTATGCTAACTAGCGTTACCTACCACTGCCACTAGAACTAACACTAGACCGAGAACTAGAAACATTCGGATTTATGCCGGGTTTATACAGAATTTAGCAGTAAATTTAAATTTAAAGATTTAGATTTACGGATTTTATTTAGCTTTAAGAAAAAAATTGATTTATACAGAATTTAATATTTCTAGAATCGCAACCTCAAGAAACAAAATGTTACTGGTTTTTGTGTTGTCATTTTCTACCAATATCTTATCTTTATGTTCAGAATATTTTTTGTCGTAAATATATCGGTAGTTCTCAATAATTTTAATTAATTTTCCATGGAATTCACTCATTTTGTTGCACAGAAATAAACAACAGTTGAGGTTAGGTTAGAACGCGCTATTTACACCGGCCGATCATTGGATACAGCTGATTGAGGTTGTCTTGCGCATGTGTGACGCTGTAAATTTAGAAAAGTTGATTTGATGAACTTTATTTGCATATAAATCATAGACGAGTTAATTAGAATAAAACGGAACTCTCATGGCACACTTAAATGGAAAATTAAACATTAAATTCTAAAAAATATTGACGTTGGAAATGTCACTTATGTGGTACCATTGGATTCAGAAAATTATTCAAATTTCAAAAATGTAATAATATACAGGGTGTTCCATTTAAAAATCTAAAGTTAGTGTCACTTCCGGCGAAACCGGAATTGAAAAAAAAATTACTTGTATGCCAAAAAGTGTCTCTTATCATGTGTATAGGATGTCCCAAATTTGAATCAATTATCTTAAAAACTAAAGGAGATACGGGGGGTGTACCATGATCGTGTTACACCCGGTATACTGCAATGTACTCAATAATGGGGGTAGATATCTGTATCTAAATAAGAGATAACAGGTGTTTGGAGTAGATAGTAACGTCCAAATATTGATTAGTGTATGTTTGAAGTATATACCAATGTCAAAACAATGCTAAATATTTTTGATACAATACTTAACAATCTTCAAGCAGTGATTTTACATTCTACATTTTGATCATCCCACATTTGATTTGATTTATATCATTTTTTTTTATTAACTAGAATATTTAGTGTATTAATATCATAATAAGATCTAGTCTAAAACTTAGTTTAATTTGAACACGATACCAAGAATCATCATCGCCTTGGGTGTACAGTAAGAAGTTAAAGCCCCTGCAGTGACCATACGTCATTTAGCTGGACATTATGGGGCGAAATTAAATTATATCACCCGGTTAATTATATTTGTGGCGCGAGGGTGGTCGTCGGGGGTTGGTTCGGAGGCGTTTCGATCCCTGCCCTCGTGCCAAGAGGTCAAACTCTCCGTTGATTTCCTGTCAGAGTAAATTGTAATCGAGTATCCGCCACGACATCGGCTCATTCCCAACTGTCTCGCAACTTGTCCAAAGATGCACTGTTACTTTGTGTGCACCATATTGTTGGTCGAAAACAATAAGGAGATCTAGAATCTAGAATATTGTTTAGTAATGTTTCCTGTGTCGTATTTTGATCAATAGGATGTAGTGATATTGCAGATTTTATGCAGTGTTTACTGATTTTTTGTTGTTTTATTAAAAAAAAAAAGATAAACGAATGGAATTCATCGGACCGTCAATCGACAATTCGCACTCGTCCATTATCGCTTTATTCGGTCGTCGGTGGCAACACAATGCGAGGCGCTATCTGAGGCCGGCAAACAATAATTTACTGTCAGCCGTCAGTCACGCACCCAACGCCTGGCGGTGGCGCGCCACCCCTAACGCCCCCCAAAATCCCCTATAAAGCGTCGACGTCCGTTCATTATCCGGTAATCGGGCTTCCGGAAAATCCGGTATCCGCGGAGTTTCGACGACGGCAGATTTCAAGTCCGCCGCAGGAGGGCGGCTAAAACACTCCTTCCAAGTCTTCAAACTTAGAAACTGCCGCCGCCAAAGACATACTTCCCCGAGCTTTAATATTGAACAGCTTGAACAAGTATAACTATAAACACAAAGAAAAAAAAATGTTTTCGTTATTTGCTTTTTAGGTTAAAATTGTTTGTTAACGAGTTACAATGGAGGGTTGTTGTGGATAATACGCTAAAAAGGGATGCACCATAACGGGCGGTCAGTTTAATTGAAAATGGTGCTGTCGCGCGCGGAATTGAGTTAATAATCGCGTTGTAACCGCTGAACGTTTACGTTTACAGACAGCCCAAAGTTCACCACGCCGATAGCCAACGTCACGGTACCCGTGGGACGTGAGGCCATCCTCGAATGTGTTGTCGACAACCTATCCAACTTTAGGGTGAGTACAACACTTCATTTTTACAAATTGGATTTCAATAATAAAAAAATATACATTTTTACTATTTTATACTTTATTTTTTAATTCGGAGGAGAAAATGAAAAGTCACGTTTACACAGCGTAACTTTCTAAACTATTTTTTGGCGGGAGTTTTAAAACCAGAGAGGATTTTAAGTAAAGTGCAGTTACGAATTTGATTATTTATTTGATTAAACATAATAAAAACCAGGGCGTACCTCCTACTTATTTAGTCCCACATAAAATGTAACATGTCAATATAATAGATATAATATCACTATGTTGCATAATTTTATTGAACTAAAACTAGAACTAACCCTAGACTTAGAACTAGAAAGTTTCGGGTTTAGCCCAATATTTTCTAGTTTTAGGTCTAGTGTTAGTTCTAGTTTTGCACTATTACTAGAACTAACACAAGACCTAGAACTAGAATCATTCGGGTTTAGCCGTCTTGAGAGACGTGCGGCTAAACCCGAATGATTCTAGTTCTAGTTTTGCACTATCACTAGAACTAACACAAGATCTAGAACTAGAATCATTCGGGTTTAGCCGTCTTGAGAGACGTGCGGCTAAACCCGAATGATTCTAGTTCTAGGTCTTGTGTTAGTTCTAGTGGCAGTGGTAGGTAGGCGCTAGTTAGCATAAGATATCATCTATCATCTATGTTGTATACTTTTATTGAACTAAAACTAGAACTAACACTAGACCTAGAACTAAAAGTTTCGGGTTTAGCCGTGCTTCTGAAGACGTAAGAAGAATCGAAAACATAACCTAACGTTAACATAATTTCAAACTTTTATAATTATTAATTTTTTATCTTAAAAAATTGCTTCTCTTCTAAGTATTTGCTCACCCCATCTAACGACATCTAGCGATTACTTGCTAAAATTATTAAATTTTGTGAAAAACTAAGTTTAGTTGAGCCAAAATCCCCATCAAAATACGTTTTTGCACTCCCAAACTATTCATTTATAGTGATTATGGACTCTAAGAAGAGATTTTTTCCGAAATTGAAGAAGAAACGAAAACCTAACCTAACTTTTATCTGTCACTTTCAAATTTTTGAGGATTTAATTTATTTTTTAGAAAAAAACTTATTAATAAGTGATTTTATTAAGGAAATTAGGAACAATTAATCTTCATTCAGGTAAAGATTTCAAATTTTTATGATTATTATTTTTTTTATCTTAAAAATTTCTTCTCTTCTAAATAATTGCGCGCTCCATCTAGCGGCAACCATCTATATTAAGTCAGTTTTGACATTGAAATCCTTCGATTACATTACTTGCTAAAATTATTAAATTTTGCGAATAACTAAGTTTAGTTGAGCCAAAATCCCCATCAAAATACGTTTTTGCACTCCCAAACTATTCATTTATAGTGATTATAGACTGTAAGAAGTGATTTTTTCCGAAATTAAAGAAGAAACGAAAATCTAACCTAACTTTTATCTGTCACTTTAAAATTTTTGAGGATTTAATTTATTTTTTAGAAAAAAAATTTATTAATAAGTGATTTTATTAAGGAAATAAGGTAAAATTAATCTTTTTATAGTCAAGTAAAGATTTCAAACATTTTAAATTACTAATTTTTTATCTTAAAAAATTGCTTCTCTTCTAAGTATTTACTCACCCCATCTAGCGACAACCATCCATGTTAAGTCAGTTTTGACACTTAAACCTTACGATTACATTACTTGCTAAAATTATTAAATTTTGCGAATAACTAAGTTTAGTTGAGCCAAAATCCCCATCAAAATACCACTCCCAAACTATTCATTTATAGTGATTATGGACTCTAAGAAGAGATTTTTTCCGAAGTTGAAGAATAGACGAAAACATAACCTAACTTTTATCTGTCACTTTAAAATTTTTGAGGATTTAATTTATTTTTTAGAAAAAGAACTTATTAGTAAGTGATTTTATTAAGGAAATTAGGAAAAATTAATCTTTATTCAGGTAAAGATTTCAAACTTTTATAATTATTAATTTTTTTGTCTTAAAAAATTGCTTCTCTTCTAACGATAAGTATTTGCTCACCCCATCTAGCGACAACTTTCCATGTTAAGTCAGTTTTGACATTTAACCTTACGATTACATCACTTGCTAAAATTATTAAATTTTGCGAATAACTAAGTTTAGTTCAGCCAAAATCCCCATCAAAATACATTTTTCGACTCCCATACTATTCATTTATAGTGATTATGGACTCTAAGAAGCGATTTTTCCCGAAGTTGAAGAATAGACGAAAACATAACCTAACTTTTATCTGTCACTTTAAAATTTTTGAGGATTTAATTTATTTTTTAGAAAAAGAACTTATTAATAAGTGATTTTATTAAGGAAATTAGGAAAAATTAATCTTTATTCAGGTAAAGATTTCAAACTTTTATAATTATTAATTTTTTATCTTAAAAAATTGCTTCTCTTCTAAGTTTTAGCTCACCCCATCTAGCGACAACCATCCATGTTAAGTCAATTTTGACATTTAAACCTTACGATTACGTTACTTGCTAAAATTATTAAATTTTGCGAAAAACTAAGTTTAATTGAGCCAAAATTCAGATCAAAATACGTTTTTGAACTACCAAACTATTCATTTATAGTGATTATGGATTCTAAGAAGTGATTTTTCCGAAATTGAAGAAGAAAACTTAACCTAACTTTTATCTGCTTACGGCTAAACCCGATATTTTCTAGTTCTCGGTCTAGTGTTAGTTCTAGTTTTACACTATCACTAAAACTAACACAAGACCTAGAACTAAAATCATTCAGGTTTAGCCGTCTTGAGAGACGTGCGGCTAAACCCGAATGATTCTAGTTCTAGTTTTGCACTATCACTAGAACTAACACAAGACCTAAAACTAGAATCATTCGGGTTTAGCCGTCTTGAGAGACGTGCGGCTAAACCCGAATGTTTCTATTTCTCGGTCTAGTGTTAGTTCTAGTTTTACACTATCACTATCACTAGAACTAACGCAAGACTTAAAACTATAATCATTCGAGTTTAGCCATTCTGAGAGACGTGCGGCTAAACCCATATATTTCTAGTTTTAAAACAAATAAGATCGATACTAGTTTTTTTTAGTTACCTTTTTTAAGGATTACTTGTATAGAAAATAATGTTATAGTAAACGATAAAAGTGGAGGTTGGTGGAGTTGGTTCGGTACAGCTGAACGAATCGTGGTGGTAAAAAGTCCTAAACAGGTTTAATGTATGCCGTTGCCGCTATCTAAAACGTTCGGCGCGACGGTAGCGCCCCGTTTCTGGCCCCACATTTACGGTCAATGAAACTAATGCGGCCGCGGCAGATACATATAAAATTCCCGCGAGGCGGCTTTTGTTCGGCTAATATACGAGCCCTGGCGGTGTACGCGCGAATATTACCCTTAAAAGTAATACAAAAAATTGGCCTGAGCATCCGGCGAGGTGCAAATGGGTTTTGCAATACGAACCGCACCGACTACACATATGAAATCTACTTTAAAAAATTATTATGGACCTAATAGGTTGTATAGTCAACTTGTAAAGTTGTGCGAAAATAAAGTAAATAACACGGTTATAGACACTATAAGAGTTTTACTTTAAACGTAACGTTTTTTATGGATTAGTGTTCCATATGCTTTAATTAGGACTTAATCGAACCTTAATCGAACGTTAATTTAACATAAATACTATTATTTTAATCGATACAACTAAACGCATCTTTAGAATACTTAACGTGAGACAAGAGAATATGTATAGACCGACAATAAGACCAAATAGTGTACACCTAGAGTGTAATGATAACGGAAATAGACTTGTAAACTATGCCTCATCCATGAACATGACTATCAGCAGCACCTACTTCCCGAATAAAATGTTATACAAAATAACACGGACCTCGCCAGACGGATAAACTATAAATTAGATCGATCATATTTTGATAGATTCAAGACATGGATCCAACTGCAAAAGCTATAAAGGAGCGAATATTGATTCTGATCATTATCTGGTGATTATCTCGAATATCTAATGCAAAAAAAAGAAAAGGCGGGGGCTAAGATAATAAAAGGTATAACGTCGAAAAACCCAGAAACATCAGAACCATTCATAGCCGGGGTAGAGCAACGAATAAACCGGACAAGCGAGGAGGAGATTGGACCTATCGGAGTCGATACCGCTTGGACACTCTTAAAGAGAACACTTGCTGAAACGGCAAAAGAGCTTACTTGAAGATGACAGAAAGAACAACTAGAGCTACAATTATTATAAACATATGAAACGCTCATTTTGGTTTATATTTATTAAATTACACGATGAATTTGGAATCCATTTTATCTAAAATTGCTGTTAAAGGTTTGGATCTACTTGGACAGGCGGAATAGTGCTTCCAAGATCACTTATTGCTTTCAAAGACTTTAATAATTGTTTGGAAAAGAGATATGCTTTCCAAAAAGCTACCTACCGCTTCCAGAATGTTAGATACTGCTGCAAAAGACTAATAACTGCTTGAAAAGAAGAAATATGTTTCCTAAAAAGCTACCTAATGCTGCCAGAATGCTAAATACTACCGAAAAAGATTAATAACTACTTGGAAAGAAGAGATGCTCTCCAAAAAAGGTACCTACTGGTTCCACAATGCTAGATACTGGTGGAAAAGATTACAATCGGCTTGGAGAAGACTAGATAGTGCTAACAAACAACTACAAACTGATTGGAAAGACGAGATACTGCTTCCATAAGAATACGTACTGCTTTCAGAGTGCAATTTAACAACGAATGTTGATATTTGTTGACACCCAGCTCTAATCTACGCCAAATCCATGATTTCACCCAACAGCTTCTTTTTATTTTTTTCAGTTTGTTCAGTGTGTCAAACACCAAGCACTAAAAGAAAATAAATTTTACTTTCCATAGCAGGGACACATTTCACTAGTGGACACGGTCCTGAGAGAACTGTCTGAGAGAAAGGTCTCAGAAGTTTTATAGAAGCTCTCGGA